GCCTTAGCGATCTCGGCTATTCGGATCCGCGCATTTTTTATTCTTAATAATTTCTCTTTTTAAATTTTCAATAAAAGCCATCTCTTAATGGTAAACAAATTATTATTTATTTTAATAACTATTATTACACCAAAGCAATGATTGCCATCTAAATGTTCCATGAAGCAATAATGGACACTAACAGATGGTTAATTATTTTGTAAATAGTTTTACATATTTTTATCACGTGACTCGATAATGGACGGCTTGAAATTTTTTTTAACGGCTAGATAAAAGCAAAAAACAGGCAATATAAACTCATTACCTATGTATCCACCTCGCAGAATTTTTCATCTACTGTGCCCTCAAACAATTATAAACGCCATCTTAACAGCGACAAGAAAACCTTTTGTAATGTCCTGTCACAGCTATACTCCCACTCATTGTGCGCAACGTTTCTGAGCCATAATACTTTTGACACGCAAAATTCCCCTTACAGAAAATACTAGGAGAAAGATTTTATCGGTGATAATTTTTCTGACTATTAGTTCACGGTAGATTGGATATCTTTTGAATCTCTTTTCTTGTTTTACTTTTCCGAATTTTTTTCAAACTTTTTCTTTACACAATAGTCTTTTGTCACCACGCTCTACTCTTTCTTTAAATTTATGTTCTATCTGTCCAACAAATACGTGTTTTTTAGAGAAGTTAATCAAATTTGCCAGGTAGGTTAATAAACTATTTATTCCGTTGCAATCTGCATTTCCTAGTAAGCAAGACTTCGTCTTTCAGTTAGTATTTACACACTTTCAACATATTCTCCATCCTCAGTCTTGCTAGCATATTTCTTTTCTTGCCACTTCTTCCCTTACAAAATAGATAATTGCTCGTACTATAAAATCAAAAATTCTTTAATTTCTTACCGTATCTCTTCTAAACCACCTCCTCACCAAATTCAGAGACCTCATCGTGATGTTTCCTGTTCTCACGATCTCTGATACAATCTCTCGGGTTACAGTCGCCTTCCTCAAAATTAAGTTCTTTGACTGGCTCTATCCTTTTCTCCTTTCCATTTCCATGTTGGGTCTTCCTTTCTGTCGCTTCCTTTGCCAGGTTGTAGTGTTCGAATCCCGACGGTGGCGGATTTGCGACACCAGCTACAACGCGCGATCGAATTTAACGAGTCTGAAGGAGAATTATTGCGGTTTCCTTCTCAGTTCTTTGCGAGTTATTCTTCTATCAATACCAAGCGAATGCTGGATCATCACCCTAACAAACGCACCACGGAGGACGCGCGATCTTTCCTTCGTCATACCTGTCCCTTCCTCGCCCACACGTTTACGTTCTCCCCACTCTCTCGAACACACACACACACACGCACACGCACGCATTTACACTTGCTTCTACTACACTGCCACCCATGTATGGGGCTGAGGCGGATCCAGCAGATCTTTTGGGTGGAGCCGACATATTTTTTTAATAATAAACATATTTTATATTACATCGTATATTAATTTTGTATTGTATATGATTCAATATTTTTTAAAAAATAATTACATAATTCTAACCTAAACAAATATTTAAATCAATTTTGCCAAATAAAGGTAGATATCAAACACAATCTGTAGATTTTTTTGGGGGGGGGCATGGCCCCCATCGACAGGTTATCCGCACTGCCACCCCTCGGAACGCATAATGCACTACATTTACGGAGCTTCAGTAGTTGTCGCGCTTGGAATCAACGCTCACTCATGAATAATACAAAATAACGAATGATTCGGGATTATCATTATCACTATAGGGATTCATTTATGCATCTTACTTTTCTTATCCATCTGATATTTTAAACATTTCTCCATTTCGGACGCCATCCTACCCTCATTTATTCCTCTTCCTTTATTTTCTCGGCCTTCCTTCCTTTTGTTCACGTCTTATTCATTCTCACCCAGAGTCCTGGTGACCCTAGCAAAAACGCGAGGTTCCCCTTATTCACTCTGGTGTAACGAAGCGGGTTACCATTGTCAGTTATGTTTTTCTAATAATGAGGTATTATGACTGAAGACCCTAAAATAAAATTAAAAAAAAACAATGAACAAATAATAGGCTTCCGCGGCAGGAGTCAATAGCTGCTTGGCTGTCTGTGTGACGCCGCGTCCTGAGCACAGGTGCCAATGTTTCTGCCTTCATGCTTCGACCTTCCTCTAGGTGAAATGCCCTAGGAATGAGAAATTCATTTCCCCTTTAGAAGGTCGCGCCTTGGCCGAAATATTGGCACCTGAGCCTAGGACGATCTCGAACAGCCAAGTAGTTACTGACAAACAGAATGAGTTGCGAGGTCGTGGAGACCATTTCGAATGATTCTCAGATCCACTGAAATGTGGATTTATGCAAGTGAAGGCATGTAATGCTAGGCATATTAGCAATAGTAACTTCGAAGTGGTTAAGAAGTTATGAAACGTGTGTACTGTAAGACAGACTCTTAAGTCTTGAAAATAAATTGTTAATTTTGGATATTGAGAAAAATCTGAATTTTGTTAAAAAGAAGCGGTCGACGAGACGTCGACGAAAACGTCTAAATTGGCTTAAAGTAACTGCGACGCTCTGACGATTGAGGTGTTATAGATTAATTACTCTAAGAATGGTCCTGTTTGACAGATCGGGAAATAAATTAATGTGATATAGAGTGATGGTATTGCAAGAGATGGTGATGAACTATTTATTAATGAGCTAATTAAACGAATGGATTAACGAATGGAGTGCAATGACATAACACGCAGTTTTGTTGTCAGCAGTATTCAAGTAGTAGCTGTCATAGCGGTACTCTATTGCAATCTCTTTATACACTTACAAAAATCACTTTATACATTAGGGATGCGACATCGATGTTTTTGTAGAAACATTTGTATTAACACCGATGTTTTTTATTTTCCGATGTGTTTCTGAATGAAATATAATAATAATAATAATAATAATAATAATAATATTTATTTGGCTACAATTGGCTGATTGCCAGGTGGTAGCCACAACCCTACAGTTTTACAATATTTCAACATTTATAATAAAAAAACAATTTACCATATAAAAAAATTTACAATACACTTCTTTCGAGCATATACACTCAATATATAAACATACAGAGACCTGTATACATCTATGGCACATATATACACCCATACACACACACACACATATATACATACACATGCATACATACATACATACACACACATTCCTATACATGAATGCTCACTCTCACGTTCACACATAACACGAACACACACACACACACTTGCCCTACATATTATACATGCATACATTTAAATGAAGAACATATATTTAGTTACACCTAGTAAACATTCACATATATACATATACATAAAATTAACCAGTTACACAATTTGTTTTTTTAAATATAAACACAATGTGGATTTTTAAAGTTAGCTCTTTAAGCATTTAGATTTGCTCCCCACATACTGTCGCACTTCACTTCACTTCACTTCACTACATTACACTCCACTCCACTCCACTACACTTTCACTACATCTTTCTTTGGTTATGCCATATAACTAATTAAAGTAGCTTTCCACTGCACTGAACTACACTACACTTTATCTATAATAATCTACAAATTGTGTATTCTGAGCTGTGCGGTAAAATACAGCCTACAAGTACTTATTAAGTCGTCTGTCGTAATATTCCCATTATCACAATATAAAAGTTAAAATATGAAATAATAAATGATAGTAACACTGTTATTCATGTGTTGGAACTAAAGGACTACATTTATCGACCGCTCTCTCTTGTCCGAAAGGACATCGTTGTTTGCTAATAACGATGTTTTGTTCTCGATGTCGCCTCACTACTGTACACTGTGCCTGAGCAAATACGCTGTGGGCGTGGGGTCTGCCCCTTTTTGCTCGTGCCTCAACGAGTTGATGAACACGACCACTGTAAAATTAAGTTTTAATGCATACGAATTTAATGTTAGAGGTTACTAATCCAGTGTAAAAACATCAGTGTTGCAAAACATTGATGGTTGTTACTCAATGTATTTTGAACATCGATGTTTGCCAATAACTGATCTTTTATGAATGTCGCATCATTACTGTACACTGGACCTGAGCAAATGCACTGTGAGCGTAGGACAGCCCCCTTCTCGTACTTCGGCGAATTGATAAACACGAACACTGTCAAATTATATTTTAATGCACATGAACTTAATGTTAGAGGTTACTAATCCAGTCTAAAACATTGATTGTTTTTAGTCGATATATTTTGAACATCGACGTTTGCCAATATCGATGTTTTGTTATGGATGTCGCATCACTACTGTACTCTGGGCCTGAGCAAATATGCTGTGGGCGTAGGGTCTGCCCCTTTCTTCTCATGTTTCAACGAATTGATAAACACGACCACTGTCAAATTAAATTTTAATGCACACGAACTTAATGTTAGATGTTACTAATCCAATCTAAAACATCGATTGTTTTTAGTCGAGATATTTTGTACATCGTCGTTTGCCAATATCGATGTCGCATCACTACTGTACACTGGGCCTGAGCAAATACGCTGTGGGCGTTGGACTGCTCCCTTCTTGTCGTACTTTAGCGAATTGATAAACACGAACATTGAATGTACATCTTCATGCACCCGAATTTAATGTTGAAGTTACTAATATAGTCTAAAAACATAGATGTTGAAAACATGGATAGTTTTTAGTCGATGTATTTCGAAAATGGATGTTTGCTAATGTCGATGTTTTGTTATGGATGTCGTATCACTACTGAACACCGGGCCTGAGAAAATTACCTGCGGGCTTCGGGTCTGCTTCGGGTCTGCTCCCTTCTCATGCGTCAGCGAATTGATAAACACGAACACTGTCAAATGAATTTAATGTTAGAGGTTACTGATGCAGTCTAAAACATCGGTAGTTTTTAGTCGATGCATTTTGATGATCGATGTTTTGTGACCGGGAGCTGAGCGTGTGCGTGGGCGTGCGCAGGCGCCGATCAACGACGCAGGCGCGGCGGCGGGGCTGCTGGGCGTGAAGCCGACGACGCGGCGCGCGCACGTGGTGCGCGCCATCCTGGAGAGCGTGGCGTTCCGCGTGCGCCAGCTGCTGCGCTCGCTGCACGACGAGGCGCACGTGCGCTGCCGCACCATCAGGTCAGAGCGAGCGCCATGCCCACGCCCACAAGGACAGAGGGTGTTAAGCGGGGCTCGGATTCTCACGAAAATTAACAGTCTTTGAAAATGACCTATAAATGGCTTAAATAAACATAAAAATGACCTATAGATGTCTTAAAATAAGGGGGAAATGACCTATGAGTGACTTAAAGTAAGGGAAAAATGACCTATAAATGACTTCAAATAAAAGAAAAATGATCAATAAATGACTTCAAATAAGAAAAATGACCTAGAAATGACTTAAAATAAGGGGAAAATGAACTATAAAATAACTTAAAATAAGAGAATAATGATCTATATAATTATTTAAAATAAGAGAAAAATGACCTATATATGAATTAAAATAAGAGAGATAATACCTAAATAATGGCTTTAAAAAATGGGAAAATAACCCATAAAATGACTTAAATTAACAGAGAAATGACCTGTAAAATGACTTAAAGTAAGAGAAAAATGGCCAATAAGATGACTTAAAATATGAAAAAAATGACGTCTAAATTGGCTTAAAGTAAGAGAAAAATTACGTATAAAATGTCAAAATAAGAGAAAATGACCTATAAATGACTTAAAACTAAGAAAAAAAAGATTTAATATTCTAAAATATTACAAAATTACGTATTCTAAAATACTACAAAATTTGTATGAAAATATTTGTTTATTCAATGAATTTTACAATTTTAAATAAAATTTATTTAGATAAACTTAAAAGTAATATAAAGTCTTTATTTTAAGAGGAATTGAGAACTTAGCTACGTCTAGAATCCACCAATGAAAAGATAACTGGTCATCAGAATCCGAGCCCTGGTAATAAGGACAGTATTATAGGCGCACGTTTTCTTGAGCCGCGGGAAAGCTATCCCCATAGAAACTATTTCGCATCGAAAACCGAGGTACAGATTAGACACAATAGACCTGTCGACAAAATAGTCAAACCTCCCGCACCTTCCGAATTATTGAATCGAGGTTTCAAGAAAACGAGCGCGGATAAAACGTGGACCGGCTAAGGTGGCGCAGGGCGTCAGTTGATGTCCCTGCGGTGCCTCTGACCGGGAGGTCCTAGGGTTTCACTCCCAATGGCGTTGTGGGAGGATTTGCGACACCAGGTAGGTAGCTAGGTCGAATTCAACCACTGATCAAGGGAGAATTCTACCGGCCGGCTCCTCTGATCGGTAGTTTTCCATGGTTTCTCCGATCAATATATCAGGCGAAAGTCTGAGCAGTGCCCAAGCAAACAGACGACGGACCGCGCGCGATTCCTTCCTCTTCCTTGTCCTACATTTACTCATTGGACCTTCTTACACTAACATGCACTACAATACCACACACGCCGGGAGACCGTTCTGGAGGTTAGAGCCTGTACAGCTGGAACGACGCCCTTCTGGTGGGAGATAACTAGTTTGGGAAAGCCCCTCTAGCTGACGGTAGGTCGGCGCCGGTACATATTGTACTTGCGTACATATTGTTTGACGGCACAAGGTTGCAAATGACTCCCAAAGAAAATTATCACGAATAACACAAGACGGTTAATAATTATGTTGATTATAAACTGTTCATTCGCAGCCTTGGCATGCCAACAAGCGAAGGAAGACGTAATTACCCCGATAATGATCACAGCTTTGTCCTGGGATCCAAGAAATAAGACCGTGTTTGTAATTGGAGAGGATATGGTAAATCTGTTGGTAAAATGTAGAGCTCTCAACTCTTGGTAATTTTTCATCTTAATCTATTTTATTATTTCTATTTACTCCTATGCTTATGTTTTTAAGAGCTCTAGTCTTTTGCTGTCTTTCACGCCCCTTACTGTGAAATATTAAATTAAAAAGAGACAGAGTTTTTCTTCTGAATTTTAATTTTATGTTCATGTTATATTGTTTTGAAGTTTAATCATTAATAACAGACATTTATAATTTTAACTTCTCAATTCTCGAAATCGCATTCTCGCCTTTGGGAACAGGAGCGGATCCAGCCTTAATTTTTTGAGAAGGAAGGTGAGTCATAGATTTTTGTTAAATAATAAACGTATTGTTAGTATACTATATAATTGAATGATGTACTGTATATAGTGTACGATACTATATGATACAATACTAGTAGTATAATTTGTAGTAAATACACTGTATGATACTATAGAATATTATTTTTTTAAATAATTACTTAATTCAAACATAAATATTTAAATTCATTTTGCCAAATAAAAGAATGTAACGAACGAAAATTTCAGTCCTTGGGAAGGGGCCCGAAATATCCCCCGCCCCCCTGGATCTGCCATTGCTTGAGAGACATTTAAAAAAATTTCACCTGCTCACTGTCTTTCCCAGCCATGTTATTTCCGCGGCTCTCACGAGGCGACATAAATATCTGGTTTTTGCTTTTGCATCCCACGACCCGGCAGCCTCGGCCTCTTCAACTGGGCGACTTTGAACTGCCTCGTTCGCGAGCTAACTCGTTCCTATGTTTCATTTCCAACAATTCATTGCAGAACACGGCGTAAGTAAAGCTATTTTCGTACATCTTCTCAAGTAAAGAATGCACCTAAGCATACACTTAAGTGAATCATTGAAAACTTTCCGAGCTGTATTGTTGATATTGTCTTGACTCCAAACAGCAAACCATTTAGAATACGATTACGAATGCCCCTTAGTGAAATAGTGATGAATAAATAAATTGCAAAAATCCCTTTGGCCAATATTCCCCACGATGACTCTAGGTCAGTGTCCCTTTGATAAGAAATTAAAAAGACAGGACAGCATAAAACAATTTTACTTCGTCTGAAAGCATTTGAGAGCGTCCGCGAATTATTGTACAATGTAGTATATAACACTAGTAGTGATAACTAGCGTATGACGTGAACTATGTGGACCGTCGCTTCTTGACAGTAGAAGGTAATCATGCATGAACCAATCCGGATCACTGCTCCAAACACGTCAGCAGACGGGACACCGATACTCTTAGTTCCTCCTTCTACCAATAGATTGTGTTTGGTTGTGGCGTCGTGGCTCGATAGAGATGTGAATGACTTCAAAGTTACCACTATGTCTAAACTATGCCAGATTAAATATAAAACGTGAAAGGCAGTATTCAAAATATTACACATATGATGGGAAATAAAATTTAATTCGAGTTAAATTGACTTTAAATGTATTCAGAGCCCACACCAGCAATCGTGCTTTGTGTCTCGCGACCTACGTAAGGCCCGTTTAAAGTCGGCACGTCTTAAAATCTCTATAATAATATTGCGATATACTATTTTCTTACTTTCTATTGAGGCTAAAAAATACATTATGTGACTTAGCGCTACGTTCCAAAGTCTGTTCGCGATTAATTTTATCTCTTAAAAACAAGACCTTCGGCATTTACGTAAAAGCACTTTCTCTCTGTTCTTGATATGCATCTCCTACATGTAAAACATCATTTTTGGAGATGTCTCACTACTCTTGTTTACCGAACGCTTCGAGATCCTGGGGAAGCGATAGCTGAGGCCACAATGTTATTTTTTTGAATTTATTTATTATAAATTTATCATTTATTTATTATTATAAATTTATCATTTATTCATTATTATAAATTTATCATTTATTCATTATTATAAATTTATCATTTATTTATGATTATGAACTAAATTAAATTTATTTTAATTTATCTTTAGAAACGGGTAAGTTCATTAGCGATCACTATTATTTTAAGTATTGGTAAAGTATAAGCAGTAGATTTATCATTCATTAGATACCACACATATAACCCAAGAATAATGTTCTTTGTTGCGTTCATTCACACTTGGCCTTTGTGTTGTTTGCTCAAGGCCGAATGCTACTTTTCTGAATGTGTGATGAATAATGGCGACTTGACTAAATGAGTAATGATTTCGGACGAGTCAACTGCATACTAGAACATTAGTCCGTTATGCATAGTGCATGTTGTATTTTATTCCTCCTCTACTAGAACGTTAGACCCAGCGCCGACCTTCACATCAGTTTGGTGTGTTTTTCCCGTATTAGATACCTTTGCCAGCGGGCCATCCCCCACCCAGACAGTCACAAAGTTCTCAATTGCTTTCCAGATGTGTATGGTTACGAAGTGCATGTGTACTGTGTGATCGAAAGTATCCAGACACGCCCAAAATTGTGTTATGGTGTGGTCGTGTGTGAAAGGGGGCTTGGACTCCTTGTCGTTTCATGTGGCACTATCATGGCAGACTTATGTTGATTTTTAAACACCTTGCTTCCCACTGTTGAAGAGCAATTCGGGGATGGCGGTTGCATCTTTCAACACAATTGAGCTCTTGTTCATACTGCACGGCCTGTGGTAAAGTGGTTGCATGATACCTCTCCTCAGTGAAGAATGGGCTATTCCTTAGTGAAGAATGGGAATGAAGAATATTCCCATTCTTCACCCTTATTGCTTCCTACTGTTCAAGAGCAATTTGGGGACGGCGATTGCATCTTTCAACATGGAGCACCTGTTCACATTGCAGGGCATGTGGTGGAGCGGTTGCATGACAATAACATCCCTGTAATGGACTGACCTTCACAAATTCCTGACTTGACTCCTATGGAACACCTTTAGGATGTTTTGGAAAGGCAACTTCGTGCCAGGCCTCACCGACCTACATCGATACCTCTCCTCAGTGCAGCATTCCATGAAGAATGGTCTACCATTCCCCAGGGAACTTTCCAGCACCTAATTGAAAGTATGCCTGCGAGTGTGGGAGGGTGTTATCAAGGCTAAGGGAGAACACGCTATTGAATTCCAGTCTTAACGATGGAGGGCGCCACGAACTAATAAGTCATTTTCAGCTACGTGTTCGGATACTTTTGATTACATAGTGTAAGTGTGTGTGTGTGAGGATAGAGGATAGGAGAAGGAAGATGAAAAAAAAGATAGCGCGGTGTCTGTGGCCCGATTGTTATGGTACTGCTCCGGCATTCGTCGGGCGTTGATCGGGGAGAAACCACAGAAAACTACCTGAACAGGCAGCCGGTAGAATGTTCCTCCAGACAGTGGTTGAATTCCATCCAGCTATTTAGCGAAAGTCGGAATTCCGCCACCGCCGAGTCTCCAGTCCTATGATGGTGCTCAACAGCGTCATAGCATGAGCGTGCCTTAGCGCGCCGGTGCGGTGTGTTGAACGCGCCGCTGTGGTGTGTTGAGGGCGCCGGTGTGGTGTGTTGAGCGTGCCCGAGGGCGCCGGTGTGTTGTGTTGAGCGTGCCCGAGGGCGCCGGTGTGGTGTGTTGAGCGTGCCCGAGGGCGCCGGTGTGGTGTGTTGAGCGTGCCTAAGGGCGCCGGTGTGGTGTGTTGAGCGTGCCCGAGGGCGCCGGTGTGGTGTGTTGAGCGTGCCCGAGGGCGCCGGTGTGGTGCGTTGAACGTGCCTGAGCTTGCCGGCGTGGTGTGTTGAGCGCACCGGCGTGGTGTGCCTGAGCGCGCCGGTGCGTCGCGACGCACCGGCGCGTGCACGTTGTGGCGTGCACCGACGCGTCGTGTTGAGCGTGCACGTTGTGGCGTGCGCAGGATCGACGGGGGCGTGTCGCGCAACGACTTCGTGGCGCAGCTGCTAGCGGACGTGGCGGGCGCGCGGGTGGAGCGCGCAGCCGCCGAGACGTCCGCCCTGGGCGCCGCCTTCGTCGCGGGCCTCGCCACCGGTCAGTGCTCTTCCCCCCTACGCCGCTTGCCAATGCTTCCACTCGTGCTGTCACAGGCCATTAAGAAATATAAACAATAAATCATTGTGTATCCTTCTCCTCCGCCTCCTTCTGCTCCTATTCCTTCTCCTCCTCCTGCTCCTCCTCTTTCTCCTCCTTCTGCTCGTCCTGCTCCCCCTCCTCCTGTTCCTCCTCCTACTGCTCCACCTCCTATTCCTCTCTCTCCTTCTCCTCCTCCTATTCCTCCTGCTCCTGTTCCTCCTCCGTCTGCTCCTTCTGCTCCTTTCCTCCTCCCCTTTTCCTCCTCCTCCTCCTCCTGCTTCTCTTCCTCTTCCTCTACTATTATACAACGATTTAAACATAGTGACACTTGAAGGTCACGAGATAACAATGTCCCCTTCTCTGTCCATTCTCTGGCTTTTCAGTGCCCCTGTGTTTAAATTGAAGTATAGTATGTAGGTATCAACAATAAATCATAATTGTCTTTCTTTTCTTTTTCCTTCTCTAAATTATTTTCTCCTTCTAATTCTTTTCCGTGTCTACTCCCACTCTTTCCTCCTTGTTTTCGTTTTACTCCTTTCTGCTTTCCCTCCAGATATCCCTTCTCCGCATAAGCATCGCCGCTGTTTTTTCTTTACCGTTTTCTCCCCCTATCCATATGTTTCATTACTCTTTTCCTTCTATTTTTCTATCTTACTCTTTTGTTCCGTCGGTTTCATTCTGTTATTCGACTCTTATCTTATAGTTTAATCGATAATTCGTCTTTCATGCTCTCTTCTTTTTCGCTTTGTTACTTGTATTTGTCCTTTTTGTTACTTTTCCTCCATTTTCTTCTTTTCTATGTCTTCGCCTAATATCTCTCCTATTATTGCTCTTCTCTTCCCTTTGATATCTTCCATACTTCAATATTGATGGTATAATGATTAGTATGATTTGGAATTTTCCGTAGCAGTCTACATAAATATTGTATAGTAGATGTGCCTGCAAAACTCGTTAGAAACTACTTTCATTAACTGGGCGCAAACATTGCTTTTTTATTCTCATGAGCAAACGCGTTTCTGGGTATGGCAGCCCGTGGAACTTCCCTAATTATAGTGGACTCGTTTGTCCTTGCTTTGAAAAATACATTTCGTAACCCGCCGAAAACAGAGAATACAATTGTCTGCTTATAACGAACTTAAAACTCACCACAAATACCGTCAAATGTCTAAAATATTGAAAATGAGTTCGATAGAAGGTACATTAGCCGAGTGTTTCTGACTACTGTATTAAATAATAATAGTAAATGTTGATATTTTTGGCGGCGGGTATAAAAATGTGGTGAGTTCCATGAGACAAAAGAATAAAGTAAACAGTCTCACAATATACTCGTTTAAAACATGCACAAGAGTAATAGAATGAAGTTGAAAAAGAAATAATACTTTTTTAAAAAATAAGTGGTAATACTTTTTTACTTCAGAAATTACTTTTTATTTGAATTATATTACAATACTTTCTAGGTTTCTAATATCTGTGATAACTCATGAGGTAAATAGCACAGTTCAAGAATACAATTTGAAGGTTCACTCAAATGAGATATTAATTCTTTAAAAATAGTAGTCATACATTCATTCGCTGACTAAACACTATTTCTGAACATCAAGACCAGTAACAACAATATTAAAGATCAATTAGCATTGAAAACAAAAATATACATCGGTTGACGCAATGTACAAAAAAACAATGAAATGACAGGAAGCTTTGGCATACGAGGATTAAATTTACGAAGAAAACTTCTGACTTAAAAAAGCTGACTTAAAATACATAGCAAAGCAAAATGTTTCCCATGAACGCACGTAATATAGATTTAATTATAACTGTCGCCAGAACGAACTACTGATTACTGTGCGCTTATCCACATTGCACCAGATCCCTCTTCTTGCTACCTGGCTATTGATGCGTTGATGTGACCCGTAGCCCGATAGAATTTCAATTTTTCATTTTCTCAATGTTTACTGTGGGCTTTCACGTACGTTCAGGGGAGCTGCTTCTGTTGGAACAAATGTAATCACGCAGTAGGTCACTGGCCATGGACGGTAGTACGAGACATGGTAGATGCGCGGTTTCCTTATACGAATGGGGCCGTCTGCAGTCTGAGTGTGGTTATCCACAAACCGTGCACTTAGGGGAGAGTTGTGAACTCACAGCCTACAGCGGGGATACGGTGCATTTCCTATGACTGACGCGGTTGAATGGATTAGAAGCTGGACGTGCACGTCTAAGGACTAGTATTTTATTGCACCCTTTTGAAGACTCGTTTATTGTGATGTGATCGTAACGCAAAATATTTACTCCTTGAGATGTTGTTCGTGGTGGAAACGGGAAGTATTTACTCCTTGTGCTGTTGTTAGTGGTGATAGAAACACGTAATATTTACTTCTTTGCTGTTGATTATGGTAATGCGAAATATGTACTTCTTGTGGTGGTAGTTGTAACGGGAAATATTTATACGGTTTGTATAATATAAATATTCGGACCTTGTGGTGATGTGATAGAAACACGACATATTTACTCTTTGTGCTGTTGGTGGTGGTAATACAAAATATTTACTTCTTATGGTGGTAGTTGTAACGAGAAATATTTAAACAGTTTATGCAATATAAATATTCGTAAATTATGGTGGTGTGGTAGAAACACGATATATTTACTCTTTGTGCTGCTGGTGGTGATAATGCGAAATTGTGGTGGTAGTTGTAACGAGAAATATTTAAACAGTTTATATAATATAAATATTCGTACCTTGTGGTGGTGTGGTAGAAACGCGAAATATTTACTCCTTCTGCTGTGGTGATACGAAATGTTTACTTCTTGTGGCGGGCAATATTTATTCCTTGTGTTGGTGCGGTGCGCATGCGCAGGCGTGTGGCGGTCGCGCGAGGAGCTGCGCGCGCTGCGGCGGGTGGAGCGCGTGTTCGAGCCCCGGGCGGCGGTGGCGGCGGAGTACGAGAGCGTGGGCGCGCGCTGGGACCAGGCGGTGCAGCGCTT